CAGCAGTGTGGGAACTGTAGAGATTTCTGCAGGGGTAGGACTTCTGTCTTTCATCAGTTTGCCTGCAGCCTTAGGAGCCTGACCAAGGGGCCACCAATGACCAGATCTTCAGCTTGTACCGTAGGGAAGCCTGCCATATCTGGAGACTTTTCAGAACACACTATTATTTTTCCATGTTTTTGTGTGGGATTCATAAATGGAACACGTTACATATAGACTGTTTCTCTGGGATGGGCTTTTTAAAGTAGTATCTATAGTATTAATGTAATATTTATATATCTTAATGATAAACTTGCAAAGCACTGAGTTGGAGTCTGTTCTCACAAACCTCAGTTTGGCCTTTTAAATGCTTTTTGATAAGTGGATAATTTGATATATTTTGTTTCTAATCCTGTCCACTCTCCTTTTCTCCATTCTGGTGGCACTTTTCAAAAAGATGGTGTCTTTTTATTTCAGTCTTTACAGAAAAATACTGCACTGCTAACCATGTGGATAAACTTCCTGGTCCTAGGGACTGGGTCCAGATTCTTCAGGATCAAATTAAACTTGCAAGAAGACGATTAAAAAGAGGCTCAGGTATGTATAAAAATATGAAGAACCTCATGTGAGTGTGAGATTAAAAGCTTAGGACCTTTGTATCCACAGAGGTGTTTTTTCTTTTTGACTGTAGCCTTGTATGTCTTCACTCTATAAAACTTAGAGTCTGATTTTAGCAGGTTTTTGTGTAAAGTACCGTGTTCCTTTACTTTTGGTACGGTAGCAGGTTTAGGAGATGTCTCTACAGCCAAGTTTGAGTCTTTCCCAAATGTTGTTTCTAACCCCTTCCTTTTAGCACTCAATCTCTTCTTCCTCGTGTTTGATGAAATACTAGTCCTAAACTAGCTGATCCATTCAGGGTTACAGGTAGAAGTTCCTTAATTCTGTGTTATTTGATCTGACAAGCCACTCACTGTGCTGCTAAGACATAACCCAAATGACCTTTCCCTCGGAACTGTATGTGTCTGGAAGCGTAGATGAGTTTTCTCACATTCCTTGTGACAGAATCAACATTACTCTAGCAAAACCAAACCAAAACAAAACCACCCATCCTGGTTGTGCCAGCAGGGTTCTGCAGTACATGGGAGGGAGCTTGCCAGCACTGAGTAACAGGTAACGTAGGCAGGGGTTTGCAGCAAAGCTGCTCAGCTTGGGCTGGGATAACCCGCATGCTCGGGGCTGGGGCCAGCCTGCAGTGAAGGCTTCTACCTCGGCAGCTCACAGCTGGTGAGCTCTCAGCTCCAGTGGTGAATGGCAACGTGCAGTCTCAAAATCCCCGGTAGAATTCATGGGAAAGCAGTATCAGCGATCAAGAGATGTGTAATTTATAAACTTTACCTAGTCTCCTTCCCATCTTCACTCTTTCTATCCTACAAGGGGCTTACTTCATACAAGGCTTCACTTACTCGTCCTCATCCTGGTGTTTTCTTAAGGCTCTCTCATGGTTGTATTCCTTGTCCATCGCTCCCATGGAGCATCTGACACCATTGCCTGAGACACGTCAGTTGTGCTAACGTCCTTAAACTCAGTCTTTCAGTATTACCATGCTTAGCTCACTGCCTTTTCCCCTCTTCCCTTCTGCCCATCACCGCAACGAAGTGCCTGTGAGCGTTGGCAGTGTGGGAGACCTAATGGCTCCGCAGGGGATGCTGGTGGTCCCCGTGGCTGTTGGGGGGAGTGGGATGAGCAAGCCCAGAGGAAATGGCCTCTCCAGCTCCTGCCTCAGAGAGCCAGTGTTTTCTGTCCAAAGCTGTGGCTCTGAAATGCACGCTTAGACTGGCATCTGAAATCATGCTCCACAACGTTATTAATGCCAGGAGGGAAAAGCGTAAGATTGAGGAAAATGAAAAACACCCAGAGACAGAAATAACACAGGGGGAGAAAAAAAAAAAAAGTGCAGATTATTCAGCAGCATAAGCTTCCCTGAGTAGAGAAGCAACCCAGCCACTAGCCTTAAAAAGGGTTTCTTGTGCATGTTGGGGGCGGGAGGAGAGAGAGATACAAGATAATCTTGTTAAAGACAGTGTCAGATTACTGGTGGTGTACAACAGGACAGCTTTCTCCCCCTTCCAAGGCTGCCTGTGCCCCTCCGGGCAGGAGGGTGGAGGTGGGCTGCCAGGCTTTGATGTGGTGAAGAGTGCAGTGCGGGATTGGGGGAGCAGAGGGCCCTTGGGCTGTCTGCAGAAGATCCCTCTGGAAAGAGGATTGACCTAATTTTGGTTTTGGTTTTTGTTTCCTTGTCTTCCAATTTTATTTGCTTTTCTTTGTGCCTCTGTAGGATATTAATTAAAACGACAATGACATTCAGCTTTTGCCTTTCAAACGGGGCCACCTCCATCTCTGGTCGTTTCTCAGGGTGGGACAGTCTAAGCAGAAGATACTGTCTCTAAGCTAGCAAGACTCTGAAGAAAAATAAGTGAAGCCTGAGTATAGTGTGATAGCTGATAGGCTCCAATCTCTGCCTGCAGAGGGAAGGTAACTCGTTAACTGGTACATGGATGAGTGGTGAGCAGCAATGCACCTGGCAGCTCCTCGGGCTTACCTGCTGAAAAAAAGTACACAGTGATGCCTAGATTGGCAGAAAAGCCCTTTTTTTATGCTGTGTAGTTTACTGGCCATTCCCTGAAGTGCGGTGGTTTCTCTCTGACATGAGGCCACAGGCAGACGTGCTCTTTTCAATCTAGCAGGAATGGTTAAATACTCCAGCCATCTGCACCTTGGTGTTGCTGCTCTTAAGGTAACCCAACCGGACCTTGCACCGAAGCAAATGAGAAGTTTCCAACAGCCTTTGTGGCAGCAACGCAGTAGATAGCGGCAGAGAGGGAGGAGCAGATGAGCTGGTTGTGGTAACATCTTCATCTTCACGGAATGATAGAACGACCTAGGCTGGAAGGGACCTTAGAGATCACCTCATCGAACCTCCCCTCCATGGGCAGGGACGCCTCTCAACTAGACCAGGTTGCTCAAGGCTCCGTCCAACTTGGCCTTGAACACCTCCAGGGAGGGGACATCCAAAGCTTCTCTGGGCAATTTATTCCAAAGTCTTGCCTCCCTCGAACTGAAGAATTTTTTCCCAAGATCAAATCTAAATCTGTTCTCCTTTAACTTAAATCCATTTCCCCTTGTCCTATCAGTGGATGCTCTTGTAAAAAGTCCCTCCCCAGCCTTCCTGTAGGTTCCCTTCAGGCATTGGAACGCAGCTATTAGGTCCTGCCAGAGTCTTCTCTTTCCAAGACTGAACAATCCCAGTTCCCTCAGCCTGTCCTCGTATCAGAGGTGCTCCAGCCCTGGATCATCTTTGTGGCCTCCTCTGAACTCATTCCAACAGATCCATGCCCCTCTTATGGTGGGGGCACCAGAACTGGACACAGTATTTGAGATGGGGTCTTGCAAGGGCAGAGCAAAGGGGGAGAATCTCCTCTCTCGACCTGCTGACCACGCTTCTCTTGATGCATCTCAGGACAGGGTTGGCTTCTGGGCTGCATGAGCGCACTGCTGGCTCAGGTCGAGCTTCTCATCTATCAACACCTCCTTCTTTTTGAAATAAAGTTTGTTAGTACATCTGTGTTACAACTACGAGCTTCTGACCTGAGGGACATAGAGCCAATCAGGCAACAGCTCCATCCAGTCACATATTTTATTTCCAGCGATGGCTGTTAGCAGATGCCCGGGGAGGTCTATAGGACTGTGGCAAGGATGTTGTGGTGTTTGCTGCCACAGTCTCACAGCTCTCAACAGCTTTATCGTGGTGTAAAACCGGTTGTGTGGGAACTGTTAACATTTTACCCACTCGTTGTGAAGCCATACCCAAATGTGTAACTTACAGAGACCAAAACGGAAGAGGATGGTGGGCACGGAGGAAGGTCCGATCTGCTGTGGGGAGAAGGTGTCCCAGGACTCCCTGTTGCAAAACTTAGCTTTTAAGAATCTGAGAAGTATGGGAATTGCAGCCAGAGATGTGGGACTCCTCCCTCACTGTCCCAGCTGAGCTCTCAAGCTCTTCCAGTCCGCCTGCAGCCGGCGGAGCAGAGGCTGAGCCCGAGCGAGCGAGCGTCCCCATGTCCGCACTGCCAGGTCATCCCCTTTTAGTTTTGTCTCTGCTTGCTCACTGAAACCTGACGGCTGAGTTTATGGCTTTAGACTGAGGTGCCCACTCCGAGCCAGCGTTAAGCTAAATTCACCCAAGACTTTCTGAGCCACCGTGTCTCCCTGTTGCCTGATCATACCGATTTATCTACCTTGGTTTCTGGTTTGTCGTAACGCACAGGCTTTATTATATAGAGAAAGTTTGAGATGATCCGTTTATTTTATGGAAGCCAAAAGATAACTTTTTAGCCACCACTGAGTTGGGCTAAATTTTAAGAGCAGAAGTAATTAAGAGAGGAGGGGCAGGCTTTCCATCCCGCTTGCTTTCCCCGGAGCCATTTAGTACATCCTCTGATCAGCTTTTCATTTCAAGCCAGGCGGTAAGATACTGCATTCATGAGCAGCCCTCTCCGTTTTACCCTGTGAAACATTATTTCAGTCTGATAACATAAATCCTGCTCTAGCTTTCAGTGATATTAATAATTTTCAGAGAATTCTAGCAAACGAGTGAGGCGGATCTGCTTTTTGTACCTCTTCCTATAGGGCGTGCTCTCCTGAGTGTTTCCAAATTAAATGAAATCATGATCACTGGATCATAGATGCTGCCCAGCTTCAACCTTATTTATCGCGTTTGGCTCATCTCCTAGAATTAGGGACAGAAAAGCTGCCTACTTGGAAAGCTAATCAAAAAAACACTTAAAAATTCTGCTTTCTAGAAAATAGTTCCCCTGTGTAGGTTTTGAAAGGTTGTTATCCTAAGCCAAATAAAAATTCATTTAAGTTCTGAATCAATGACAATATTTTTCATAGCTGAAAATATTCTCTTTTTTAAAATGTATTTATTTATTTTGCCTTGGCTTTTCCTTAGTTCTTTTAGATTATTACCTGAGATCTGAGACTTGGGTAGTGGTTTTTTTTATTTGTTAGATCTGAGAATAAAGCTGTCACTGCCATTAAATTTTTATTGGCCTTGTTCAGTGTTTTCAAAATTTCACAAGTTGGCTGTCACAAAGGGGAGAAGAGACTGCGAGGTTAATGTTACAAACAGATGTTATAATTAAAATTAAAGAGTATGGTAATATTTTTCAGTCTTGACTACTGGTCCCATTTCATGTCAGCAGCACAGCGTACTGAGGCATGGCTTCGTAGCACCAGATCTGTCTTCTTCCAGTGGAGAAACTGAACTTTTTTGGCTGCTGGGATGGGGGATGCGCAGTGGCCCCGGAAAGGGAAAAAGTCAAAGGGAAAGGCTTGTACATAGGTTTCCTCTCTTGGAGGGAATTAAAACACAAATTGCTTTGTAACTTACGGCATCAGGTATCCCACAATGAATCTTTTCCCCCTGCAAAAGAGAATGTGGGAAGGTTGGCCTCGAGATCTTAAAACAAGTCAAATCTAGAAGGAGCTGACTCGCTGTTGATACCACCTCTGCGCCAGGCGTAGCATCCAAGCCTTTTGATTACTGAATTCTCCATCCATTAATAAGCAGCCAGTCGAGGGCCACACATTTCTTGCAGTAAGTTCTTCCTCCCTTTTTATGTTTCAAAGAGTCCGTGAGCTGTTACTGCATAGCAGCGCTCCCTTGCGTGTCAAGAGGAAAGCTGGTCCGGTGTGAGTCGCGCTCCTGAAGTACCCAGGGAAAGAGTTGTTCATGCAAAGTGATTGTCTGGTGCACAGCCTGGAAGCTCTTGATGGCCTTACTCCGTGAAGGAAAACAGGGTAGATGTTCAAAAATACGCTGCATTTTTTTCAGGCAGGGCTAATTTTAAATAAATTGCTTCATCACTGAATTGTTGTTTAAAATTAACCTTAGCTGATTGCAGTGTAAAGAGTGGGAATGAAGGAATCAGAAATGCTCACCTTTTTTCTGGAAATAGGCCTTTTTCTCCCACAGTCTTGTTCAAACTGCTGCTTCCATTGTTTTGTATGAGGGGTTTTTTACTTTCTATTTCTCTTCATCCTTCTGGTTTCCCTGGTCTGTGTCCTTGATGCAATATCCATGCATTACAAGAGCTGGGTTAATTTTTTGCTTAGTGATATGCACAGGGCGGGGAAGGATGTAGGCTGGAAGTCCAACACGTGCTACGGTGCTTTTGTGGCCAATACCTTAGATAAAGACAGCGATATTAAGATGAGTAACTGCTGCATTCATCTTCCCAAACCCGAGCATACATGTACTTCTGTCCCAGGAGCAAACCGGCAGGTACACACTTAACAGGTAAACACACACATCAGAAGATAAACCATTCTGGGGGGGAAGGGGGCAGAGGGGAATTCTAAGGAAATGATTACCAGAATTGCTTTGGAAGAGCTATTGAGCTCTTTCTAAGCAAAGGACAGAGAGGAGGCTCCAAATTCCCACAGTAGGATCTATTCCTGCTTGCCTTGTCTTGCAAGCTGGCTCAGGATGAGTAGAGTTTGGCTGGCGGTCTCTGGGTGCAGTTGTCGAAGCCAAACCTTCTTTTCCTGCTTGGAAAGACATGTGAGAAGCTGGTGGTTTATATCCACGTTAGGAGGTCGAGGCGTTTGTCATGCCTGTGTGTCATACTTCACCTGGAGCTGCGATTACGCTTCCAGTTTCATAAAACAGATTCAGGCAGCTACTGAAAAGAGTGAGTAGGCTCCCCGGGCATCGGCTGTGCTCCCACTCCTTTCCCATCGCTGGCACAAGCGTTTATGTGGTGATGCTGTCAGTTTTTAACTAGATCTGATCCTGGTGACCATATAAACATTTGGGCTAGTGTGAGGAACAGGAAAACCAGGGGAGGGCTGGACCTCATCTATTAGTCTTGTGCTAGATTAAAATGTCCAGGTGGCTTTGTTACCAGCAAAGCTGGTTCTGCAAAGTTGGAGATTCAGGATTTTATTTTCTGAAAGTGAGGTGATCCCTGGCTTCCATTTGTTCCTTTCTGTATTTCTTCCTTCCTCCAAATTCAGTATTAGCCAGGGTGTGAGACAAACAGTTAGGCAGAAAGGTAATAGCATCTCTAGAGCTACCTCAGGAGCTGCTGCTGAGATTTTACTCAGGAAACCGATGTCCATCAGGAGCTGGATTAGTTCTTCCAAAATCATCCTAAAGGCAACAACTCAGTGTCCTCATGTGCAGAGCCCTGATGAAGATGACCAGGAGAGTGAGCTTAGTTTCAAGCCGGAGGTGAACTAAGTGGCTCAGTGCATCCGTAGCCTTGGCTGGATTTGATCCCTGTGGATATCGTGCAATGGGTGGATGTGAGTAGACATGTATCCACCACACCGAGGGTGTACAGTGTCACAGGCTGGTCCTTCATGACAGCACCCAGTTTGCTGAAGTGCTCTCAGAGATCTCATTGTGTTTTCAAGGCTTTAAATCACAGAATGGCCTAGGCTGGAAGGGACCTTAGAGATCATTTAATCCCGTCTCCCTGCCATGGGCAGGGACGCCTCTCAACTAGAGCAGGTTGCTCAAGGCCTCGTCCAACCTGGCCTTGAACACCTCAAGGGAGGGGGCATCCACAGCTTCTCTGGGCAATTTATTCCAAAGTCTTGCCACCCTTGTACTGAAGAATTTCTTCCTAAGATCCAGTCTAAATCTATTCTTCTTTAACTTAAACCCATTTCCCCTTCTCCTATCAGTGGACACTCTTGTAAAAAGTCCTTCCTCAGCCTTCCTGTAGGTTCCCGTCAGGTATTGGAAGGCAACTATTGGGTCCACCCAAAGTCTTCTCTTCTCAAGACTGAACAATCCAAGCTCCCGCAGCCTGTCCTCGTAGCAGAGGTGCTCCAGCCCCTGGATCATCCTTGTGGCCTCCTCTGAACACGCTCCAACACATCTATGTCCCTCTTATGGTGGGGACACCAGAATTGGACGCGGTATTTGAGGTGGGGTCTCACAAGAGCAGAGTAAATGGGAAGAATCCCCTCTCTGGACCTGCTGGCCACACTTGTTTTGATGATAAATATGTTGTAGTGCCAAAGCACAAAGGTAATAGGATTTTGAATGGGGCTCGTGTAGGTTAAGCACCGATTTCTTGTTACATGCCTATAGCTTACATGGGGTTCACGTGCACACTCCGGGGCGCTGCAGTCTCAACAAGTCACGGCACATCTGCCGAGCCGAGTTAGCGATCTCTGTGTGTACCCTTGCCCTAAGGTGAATGAATACAAGATGAACAAATTAGGCTTTTAGCCTTCCTTCACCGTGGGCTAAAAAAGTCAAATGATCTTGCATAAGCTGCGGGTTGAAGGCACGTGTGTGCATACGCCGTAATTGCCTCCCTACCTGGCCGGTTACGTACTTTGTAATTACTCTGGGTGCCCACCTGCATCTCTAAAGATATTTTGCCCTAGTAAATCCACAGAATGAGCTTGCCTGTGGCCATGGGAAGTTTGGGTGCAGCAATGGGGTGTTCATCCTTTCCCTGTAGGCATTGGATGGTGGCAGCTCTCAGAGGGTGGAGTACAAGCCTGATAGATTCCTCCTCCAAGAACCGCGAGGGATTTCTCTTACATGATTTTATCAAACGATCGCAACTCCTTTTATCATCCGGATATCCTCAAACCTTAAAAAAGAGCAAGTGTTACTCCATCCTGTTGCTGGCACAACTGCTTCTTAATGCCCAACATTTTTATTGTATGACTTTTTCCTCCAAGCAGTGAGTTTTTAACTGAGCAACAGCAAATTGCAGCTGAGGAGAGTAGATAGAAAATGCAAAATCACTCTATAGTATGTAGCTTTTTAGTCACATTCCCATATTCGGTAAAAGTAATGAGATTTCTTGTTTATATTTGTAATCAGCAGACGCAACTGACTGTGATGAGAAGCCGGACTTTTCTCTACTACAAACAGGTAAAATGCATTAAAATTTTTATCAGCTTGCAGTGCGTGTGTTTGTTTATTTATGGCACAAAAGCAGTTTTCAGTAATCCTGGCGTGCCATATACAGCTGGGTAATTGCACACAGGACCCAGCTATCTTAAGTTTTGAATGGCCTGTATTAAAAAACAAATGTGCCAGAGTCTTACAATTTCCTCCTCTATTTCATACTCATAAAACCTCAAGGTTCATGGTAACAGCAAACTAATAAGGACATTAAGTTACTCTTCTTATGTCAGACAGGGACTTGCACTCATCCCTGGCATCTCTGGGAGGTTTTGGGGATTCTTAACGGAGTTATTGGTAGGACAAACACAGAGATAGGTATTGTAGCATCTGTTCAGTTGTCCAGGGTATTAGTGATAATATCTTGAGTTCACAGAAGGATTGCAAAGATATTTATACGCTTGTTAAGAGTTGGTTTACTTTTCCTTGAAATGCAGCCACCCTACCTTAAAAGCCTGTCAGCTGCTAAACAGCAGCTTAGCTGTGCAGCTGTGTGGACTAGGAAATAAGATTTTTGCACACTGTTGCACATGGTGTTGAAACCGAGACAGGCTGAGACTGACATTTGAAGCATCCCTCTCTTTAAGAGTCAGCCTGTCAATAGGTGGGAACTGCGCTGCTGTCCCTCAGTAGAGCCAGAGTCTGGGGAAGTTGGTCATTTCTCCGCACGATGCTGCTCATTATCCCCAAAGCCAAATTAAAAGGGAGGAAAATCTTGAGCAGACAAACAGGGTCATGGATTTTCATCATATTTACCGTTACTTAGAAGGTGTAGTAACAAAGTGTGGTTGGAGATGAGTGGTGCTGTTGCTGTGAAAAAGAGGACAGGGCTGACTGGGGGTTGCTGAGCGCACAGCGGGGTACCTGGAGGCCGTGGGATGGCTGGGAGAGCGCTGCTACCGCTGCAGTGTCTCTCCTTCTTGTGCAAGGGCTTCCTAGTCTCTCTCGCCTGAGGGCTGGAGAAGGAGCTTTCACACACCGCTGCTCTGCACTGGAGCAGCAGCTGCCAGCTGTGGAGCTCTGTCGCTTGAAATCCCGCTGTCGGAGCACGTGCAGTTACTAAGGAGTAGGACCAGCGAAGCAGTTGGGAGGACAAGCAGCCATAGTCTTGTTCTGGCATGGACCCAGTGGGGGCTGGGAGCCCGCGCTGACTGCGAACCGCCACGCTGCTTTCTTGGCCAGCCGCTGAGTAATATTCCAGGGTCTGGTTGTGACAGTAGATGCAGGAAGCTCCGATTTGAAAGGTCTCTTCCAATTGACATCCTGCTTGTTTCTTCTGTCAGGGAGGGAAGCAATTCCGTCACGAGAGGACCCTAATAAAGGTTGCTAATGCAACGCAGCATAATCTTTTCATTGCTCTGGTAATCGTGTTCAGGAGCAGAATTATCAGATCTCTGTGCTTTTCTGCCGAGCACAGTTCCTGTAGGTAGTGCTTGTGTTGTACGTCATCGATGGAGAGAAGATGGTTGTGGTAGAGAAGACGACTCCCTTTCCGCTCCACAGCAGATCACCGTTGCTGTCCACTTGCTCACTGAGCAAGCATGCATCCAGTTTTTGAGCTGAAATACCTATTTGTGATGTATACTTCTCGGCCTTATCTGTGGAAGGACGCTTAAATAAACCACGCTGCAATTTGCACTGGTGCAGGAGGTGCAGCTCGTGGGCTGTAAGCCAAGCGTTTGACTCACACCCGTTATTAGATGTGTGCGAGTGCCTCTTGATAGTACAGATCCATGTAACATCGTACTGTTCTTGGAAGCAACTGATTTGAAATGATATGCAGACAGTATAATGACAGTAATTATGATAGAGAGCCAAAATACAGATGCTTTCTATCCAGGAGCGTAGCAAAAGAGGTGGAACAGA